TTTCATGTAAAGCACCTTGAAATGCATTTTTGCTGAAATGTGCTATACAAATAAAATTTGACTGATTGATGACTGATGTCCTGTCCATACTGTGTTAAGCACTCATTCACTCATTCAGCTCACCTGCCATGCCTGATTGCTTACCTGTTCCACCTGGGCCTCGCCCTACTGAAACACCCCTCAGCCTCTGCTTCCTGGCCATGAGCCAGTAGAGATCCAGCGTTTCCTTCCAAGCCGTCAGTGTTTCTACGACCCAAGCTCTGCCTCACGACCACCGATCATCACCTGCCCCTCAAAGCTAAGTTTGCCCTCTCTGTCCTCCTGTGTATGACCTCTGCCTTATCATTGACAAAGTCCCTGGGTGTTGCATTTTGGATCTCCTGGTGGAGATCTTCATTGCTTCCACTGGTTTCCTGCATCCCCCTGTCGTCAGACCCTCTGTTCCTCTGCTCCACCCGTCCACCGCTCTGCAGTGCTGTGTTTGATGACCTCTCCCTGAGCAGAAACCAGTATCTGAAAATAAACTGTTTTCCTTTCATATACTCCTGTGTGTGGTTGAATTTCCGGGTCCTTACAACAACTTTATAATTGCCATATTAAAGACACAGAATAGAAATGGTGTTTCCCTCAAAAAGCATTATATTTGTATTTAATAACATCACAGTTTTTTACAAGCATGAAATATTTGGGGGGGAAACACGGCATCTGTAAAAGACAAAACTAGTAAAAATACAGCGATGCTGTAGAGTAAACACAATATTTTAAATCACAATACAGGGTGAAACAAGTTTAATTTATTTGAGCAAACTGTCATCAAAAAACTATATTTTATTAATGATTAGTAAATAATGAATATTTTTCCTAATTGCTGTGAAATAAAAACTGAATCCTCGTATATAAATGAAACGTAATAAAAAAATCTTTAAATTTAGTCTTTTTTATTCACTACACTTTGGGCTGTGATGATAAAGTCTAATCTGATTTACTTCTTTACTTTAGGTTTTATGAACAAGAGGTTTTCCCTCCACCAAACTGTTTAAAACAAACCATATAGAATAGCGCCCCCTGGTGGCAGCAGGTTGGAGCAGCTCTGCTACATTACATTAGTTTTTTCTTTTCTAGACTTTAGTAGAAAAGACTAAAAACTAAAAGACTAAAACATTGAGATACCAGTATAATAACACCTACAGAACATTAACATGCTTCACTCCATCAGATGTTTCTATTTTCAGAGTTTTGTGTTAAATTCTCATAAAAGCCACAAATATGAAGAAGAATCTTAAAAAGGACAAATAATGTTCACATATTTTTGTCTACTCTAAAAGTAGTAAGATTAAATTATTTACTGAAAACTATGAGCACATCGATCCATACACTGTAAAAACAGTAAATAGTCCAGTAAAATGCCGGTTGAAACAAATCCACCATAAAATTAAAGGTAAAACATTTTTCTTTCACGGTTAGACGACATTGTCATTGTTTACTTTAAAGTTTAAAAATGGTGCTGGTGTAAATGATTTACTGGAAAAGAAAATGTTTTCCCTAAAATCAACATGAATACAACTCATAAAATTAATGTTCAATTTACTTTTAACAGATTAATTTATTTCACATCAAAATCAACAGTTTTAGATGTTTAACTGATTTTTTCTGTCATAATTTTACTGTTTATTACTGTTGAATATATATTTTAGTTGTAGTGACAAACAGTAAAAACATATTTTTCAAAGAACAACAATGCAAATATAATTTATATATGATTATGAACTGATCGATAGCCAATTTATTTCCTTTAATTAGCAGATGAGGTCATTTAAACCACCAAAAAAAGGCAAGATACTTCATATAAGACAATTGAACTTTAAACTATGATGTTTCAGTTTAGATGGTGTAAACATCCTGGTGGAGAACAGAAACCGTTTAAGTGGAAACTCTGAAGGCTTCCTGCTCACAGACGACCTTGCTGAAGGTCGTAGATGTTGTCGGCAGCCAGCTGTCGGTGAGATTCCTCCAGGCCAACACCTCCGCAAACGAACCCAACGGGTTGACATCATTCATCCAAAACCTTTGGACACAAACACCGTCAAAGAAAACATCATTTTATTTATTTGTTTCTGTAGAAACTCTTACCCTAAAGTGTCTCTACATCCGTCGATCCAGACCCAGCTGCTGTCGATGTTCTGCAGGCCCAGCCAGTAGAAGCTGCTGCTGAGGTTACTGATGAAAGCCTGGGGAGAAACATTGTCATTAAATGCTCAGATTATTTTAGTTTTTAAATTATTACCTATTAATATTGGTGCTGGAGCTCACCTGTTGCTCTGGATTATTAATAACAACCAGATCTGCAGATCTGTTCTGACAGAACCGACGACTTTCTTCCCAGTTCAGCTCGGTGTCGTTGCTGAACCAGTAGCACTTTTCCTGGAACCAGAACCATCCATCTGGACACAGCCGGCACTCTGCAGCCATCACAGTAAGACAGGATTAATACAGAGCAAAACCAGCAGAGTTTATCATGCTGTGCTTTTTAAAGGTGACCTGTTATGCTTCCTTGAACAGGTTAGGAGAAGTTTATGGGCTACAGAACATGTTTTGCTCAGAATCAGGGATTTCATTCTGCTCAGTTCTGCCTATGTCTGTCTCTTTCGGGCCTCTGTCTCTTTAAATCCAAATAAACTGCTGCTAGGCACACTTACATGTGAAAATGACTGCAATTATACAACTGTACTTCTTTGAAAAGCAGAAGTGGGGGTTCCTGCACAACCAACAAGAATACAGCAAGTGGCAAGTCAACAGCAGCCATTGTACAGCCCATACTCAGGACCCTGCCAACAGCCATCAGCATCTACAATCTCTTTTTGAAGGATCTGAATTAATGAGCTACATTATTTTATTTTCCTTTGGTATCAATAAACTATTTCTGAATTTGAAAACCAGCTGACCAAACATGCTGAAGCTCAGTTTGGGTTGCTAGGTAAATAAGTCTGTGAAAGCTAATTTTCTTCAAATAATTTAGAGTTATGTTCCAGAGAAAACAATCGGAGGCTGTGGTCCGCTGCACTTCATTATTAAGGTCACTGTCTTGCCGTATCCACTGTAAATATGGCAAGACATTTTACACTTAAAACTACAGCAACTATTTACATTACATCTAATTTCAGTGTTCTCCTAGAGAAAACTTTGAATAATCATCTAATCACATATAATCGAGTTTCTCACCTCCAGCGGGACAGAAGCAACTGACGGAGAAGTTTGTGGATGTGAGGATGAATCTGAGCTTCTGGTTGAGCTTTTCCTTCTCTCTGCATGTCCGCTCAGACGCCAGCTCCAGCCTGCTGACTCTCGCTTTCTGTTTCTTTATTTCTAAACAGCCTTCGAACGACAGAAAACACCACAACACTCTGTCATTATGTGACCTTTGACCTCTCATTACTGCACTGCAGAGTGCTCTGCAGCTAAAAATGTTAAAAGATAAACACGAGGATAAAGAGACTCACTCCAGGTGATGATGCTGATGCTCACCGCCTGCAGGACGAAGGCTACCCCCAACACCAGCAGCAGCAGACGGAAACGAGAACAAACGTCTTTTTTACCGTCTGCTGGTGGAATTAAACCAGATATAATAAATATTTCTGCTTTTACAGCCACTGGTTACGTTTTACAGCAGAAAAGTTTCCAAAGCATCAATTTAATAAATCTGTTTATTCACAAAGCAAAAGAGTTTAAATGCTCTCATCATGTGAACATGACAGCAGATCAGGATTTCTGTACAAAATACTGATTAATGATGTTAAAAAACTGTAAATATTTATCTTTCAATCCATAAATCGTATTTTTTTTTTCTGGCTGAAGTTTTAATCAGAAAAAAATAAATTTGAAGACTGAAACATGAGCCTGTTTGGTTTTTGAATGTTTCTTAAAAAATAGTTATGTTAATATTATGTTGTTGGTTAAATTGATCCATTTTAAAGTTAAACTAATCTAAAACAAATATTGAAAACTTTTCCTGTTTGAAACTTCTGCTTGGTTTAATAAACACAATCAGCATTTATAATGAAAGTGGTTTGATTTGAACAGTTCATTTATTTATGCACCTTCTAAAAAAGACAGAAAATAAATGTAAAACAAATTTTAAATAAACGATCTAATGTGTCTGTTTTCTTCTGTATAGTTTTTTTCTACACAGAAAAAAAAATTAAATGCATTTTAAATAATGTGGTCTGTTATTTGTAAGAGGTAAAAAACATTATTGCACTAAATATTTACTGTAATGATTAGAAATAGAGTTAATAATTAGGTACAAACATGTTTTTGGTAAAAGTTTGGGATTCTGACTATTGATCATTTGACCATAAATGCACATGATGGTTAAACCCAACAATATTTTAGACAAAGATGAAAAAAATAGACATCAGTGTTCATTAAGTTTATTAGTTTTAATGATCCGATTGACTCTGGTTTGAACTAGAAGTCCAGTCTTGGTTTCAGGTATTTCTCTTTGGTTTTTAATAATTTGCTGCCTCCTTCTGCATTTTTCCGTTTGTTGTCATAAGCTGTTTTACTGCATCAGGTTTTATCTGTTCATCTGTCATCAGTTTACTTCCTGTTTCCTGTTTTTCAGGTTTTATCTTGTGTTTTCTAGTCTTTCCTAGAGGCTGTTTGGTTTTCCCTTGGTTTTCTGTTCATGTCTCTGTAATTAACTAGATTATTAAACCTTTCTCTGAGTTGTCGCCTTTAGTCAAGGCTTGTTGGTTTCCTGTTGATCTTTAGGTGTAAAAACTTTCAGTTCGTCTAAATCTTGGATCTTTGTCTTAACCACAAATCAAGACACTAGTTGCTGATTTATTGATTATGTCTTTTCCTTTTCTTGGTTCTATGTACTACTTTACTACTTTAATTTTATTTAAACCTCTTAAACATGCAGATCTAAAAGCTGGTTTCCCAGATTCCTATATCAAAGCAGCTAATTATTGTAGCTAGCTTTAAAAAGCGCTATCAATGATTTTTATTTGAAACAGGCAGAGTTTCAATCCGATTTAATCCAGAAGTCATAAAAATGAAGGAAACGTTTTCAAACAGCTTCACTAAATAAAAAAATATTTCACCTGCTGGTTACATTTAAGGAATATGTCAGATATTAGAAGTTTTTCTCCAGGAATAAAATGTCAGTCACTAACAGAATCTTTTTTTTATCATTCCTCCTAATTTAAAACTGAGTTATTCTTGAGAAACTTCAGGTTTTCAGACGTTGAAATGTTTGCAGGGAGTCTCTTACCTGATTCAGGCGTCTTTACATTTTCCTGAACCTTCTTAGTGTTGATTTCTGCCGACATAATTTAAAGTTTTAACTCTGACAGCAGAAAGAAAAGTAAGAGCCGATCTCGTCACGATACTGGAAAATAATCCCACTGATACTTTATGCAAAGCAAAGTTTTCTCTTCCTGTTTTGAAGACCTTCCAAACAGGTTGTCCACTGTGTGGAAAGCACCTAAACATCCGATTTTACTGCAGTTTGCATGAAGCTCAACTATGAATACAATTTAGTAAGTTAAGCTAACTGTTACTTTAGCTTCACACAAATCCATGTTGCAGAGCTACAATGTTATGATCGGACAAAAAACCTCAGCAGTTCAGCAGACGAAGAAGGAACCATGTTTTAGTATCCATCCCCTGGCTGATACGTTTCGTTAACCTTTTCTCTGATTGGTTGGAGTGTTCTTTAGTCTTTGTTCCCTGTAGCCAGGGATACTGATGGACCAGTGAATGGACCTTCCAGAACCAGAACCAGTCTTTATATCATAATCACTGGAAACACTCAGACGACCAGCGCCAATTGGTTGGACCTCTGTTGAATTCGGTCACTTTAAAGGGGGTAAATAGTTTAACTTTTATTATGTTGAATAATTTTGTCATTGTTTGGTAGAAATCCGTTTTCACTTTGAAATTAAAGCTGCAGATTTTAACTTTTAAATTAAAAAAATATGTTTTTATGTATTTGTTAAAATGCTCACAGTAGGAGACACATAATCAGTGAAAAGATCGATCTCCTCCGCCTCCCAGAGCTTTTATTGCCATCTGAAGAAATGCACCAAAAACAGCCAATCAGAGCCAGGAGCGTTTTAACGCTGCCAATCACCCTCCTGTACTCGCTGCTAAATGTGTTGATGGGAGAAAAACAACTCACTGTTACAGGAAAACTGTTTACTTGCCATCATCAGCAGCTATGCTAACTAGCTTTAGCATTTGTGGCAGACTCTGCTAGCTGCACTGTCGTCAGGGTGATTGACAAGACTAAGATCTGCCTCCTGGATCTGATTGGTTGTTTGCAGTTGATACTGGGAGAAAGAAGAAGAAGTTTATTTTTCTCAGATTATCTGTCTCATAACAAACGTCATGGTGAGTTTCAACAAATAAGTAGGAAAATATACATTTTATAAAAGATACATCCTGCAGTTTTAAAGTTTTTTCTTTTTTGTAAATTTTTTGTCAAAAAAGTCCAATTTTTTTGATTATGATTGATTTATAAAAGTGTCGTAATTATTTCTGTTTTTCACTTTAAACCAATTTTTATCATAAGATGTTGACCAAAGTCTAAAAATAACTAAACCACAGATATCATGATAAAATATTGAGCAGGTACATATTTTTACAATCTGCACATCAACAGATGATTAGAAAACTTCTATTCAAAAGTTTGTTTGTAGTAAAATCAGTTTTGTAGACACACATTATGCTGTAAAATCCAATGTTTTTGCAGTTCTGCTCTTTGATGTTTACATAAACTGTACAAAGATATTTTTTAAGTGACACTGTGAAAGAAGCAGAAAGAGGTTTTGAGGCTGAGAGAAGATGCAACTTCAGAAACTTAATATAAATAAATTACTTCCTCATAATCTCTTAGAAACCGATGTCACAACTTAACACCAACATATGATGACAGTGTGATTTCTTTAAGTAGAATGGAAACTATTCTCAGAAATAGTTCAGTTTCCAAACCGACCAAATGGTTTATGTATGTGATGTTAGAAATGTTTTCTTTTAAATGAATCTGGCTGAAAACAGAGAAATAAAATCTAAATCAGTTACACAGTTCAGTTATAAAGAACCAGGCTAATAAGAACAAAACCAAAGTTTTGACCCAAGTCAGTCGGAAAAGTAATTCTGGCTAAAAACAAAGAAAAAAAAGTTTTCTCTCCTAAATTTGTGATATTTAGCAAAAAATAAAATAAAATTCTTCTGTATAACTGACCCAAAGCAGAAATCATTTTGCGAAATCTGGAATATTTATGAAAATATTGTAAGTTCATTAATATGCAGCCTACCATTTAAACTAATTAAATTAAATTGATGCATTCAATTCAATAAAACAAAAGCATATTTGGGTGCAGTAAAGTCTGATTGAGTAAAAAAACACTGAATGTAATAAAATAGAACAGAAATTCCTTTATTGTTTCTCAAATTTTGTTGCATCAGCAAAGTGACAAGCAATCAAAGCAAAAAGATTCAAACATAAGAATAAAAAACATTAAAAAATTAATAAAGAATACAATATTAATCTGTGCAGATAAAATATTAAAAATGAGTAGAAGCTGTGAAACCAGCTTGCTTCTGAACACTTAGTGGGTTAAATATGATGCAACACTTTTTACAAAGACAAATTAAATGTTTGTCTTTGTAAGAAGACAAACATTTAATTTGTTTAAATGTTTGTCTTTGCTTCTTTCTTTTTGCTCTGTCTGTGGTTGTAATTTCAAAGCAACACATTTCTCTGAAGTTTGATTTTATCGTGAACTCGAGTCGCGCGGCTCTGTCACCACAAACAGACTAACGAGCTGCAAACTCTGTTCGCTGGAGCAGGAGGTCAAGAAAAGCTCATTTAGGTAGCAGACATTTGTTTCTGTAAACCCGCAGTGTTGGGTCAAAGGTCAGAGAATCACCTGGCTCTGGCTTCAAGCTTCACCAGGGCTTCTTGCTCACAGATGAATTTGTTCAGAAAGCCGTTATCTGATGTGTCCCAGCTATTTGTCGGAGTTTTTCCTGGGATCAGCAGAGCAAACGGACCAGAGGGACCATAAACTGATCCCATCCAGAACCTTCAAAACATTATGACGGTTAAATTCTGCTGGTTCAAAACCGAGTGAATATAAACAGAAATGATACAGAAAAACTACAAGGTCATGGATAGAAGTGATATTCAGACGCCGAAGAGTGGAAACTCACATTTTATGATTTTTCTGGAATGTAACTGTAAAATACTTAAGAAAAATGACTTAATGTGGATTTCTACCTACTGCATATCAATCAATCAAGTTTATTTGTATATCATATTTTAGCAAGAGGCTTTTACATCATAAAAACACAAAAATAAAAATTCATAACAAAAAGTTACCAATTTGAGAAGAAACAATGATACATTTTATTGAGTGCATTTATCAAAATCACTGATAAAAATCAAATATGTTGGTCAATATTACATTTACTCACATTTACTTGAGTAAAAGGGAAAAAATTACTTTTCGGAGAATTTGTACCGCGCTGTATTTTTTATGTTCACTTATTTTAATGTGAAGTATTGTTACCCTTACTTGAGTAAAGTTTCTAGATCCTGTGAGTAACTTCACTGAATGAAGAACCAAAACGTCACCAGACAGTTTGTATTAAAATGTCTGTATGGTGAAAGGAACTGATTTGGGAAAATGTTCCTTTGCTCTAATTTTGTAAGTTTGGTTTTATATATGAACCATTTGGACCTTAAAATACCAAAACTTCCAGGTAATGTTATATTTCAGTCTGTCTGATGATGTCATCTTGAAAGACTAAACGATTGATAATTTGATCAGTTACTTTTTACCAAATACTTTTTTACTTTTACTAGAGTAAAGCTTTTGTCCACTCTGCCCACCTCTGGTCAATGCTCTAATTATTTTTGTTTCAAAATAAACTCTAAGCAGGTGGATTTAATCTTGATTTGAACATTCATTTTGTCGCCTTCCTGGAATAATAATCCCAAGTTTTTCCCCAAAAAATGGATTTTGGTGATTATTTTAGGAAGGTGACAACAAACACTGGTTTTTCTATGTTGTTTATTTTACGTTTAATTAAAGTTTCTTACCCCAGAGTGTCATTACGTCCGTCAGTCCACACCCATCTGTTGTTAATTTCACGCAAACCCAACCAGAATCCATGATATTCATCATAGTAAGACTTAATCTGTTTACTGAGAAACTCCTGAAAGTCATTTGGTTTAAAATCATTACTTTTATATTTTAAAAGTTAAAAATGTAATTTTCAAAGATGAAGCTGTGCTGGAGCTCACCTGTTCTTGCAGGTGATCAATAGTGACCAGATCTGCGGATTTGCTTTTGCAGTGCTCATCGCTTTGCTTCCAGGTTTTCCAAGGTTGTTCATCAATAAACAGATAGCACTTTTTCTGAAACTCAACCCATCCTTCCTGACATGGCCGACACTCTGTCAACGTGAAGCAAACGGAGAGACGAGCCGCTTTCAGCATCAGTTAGGAGTAATCATTGCTTTGTTTTCAGGAAGGTCACATGACACCAACTCACTTTCGCCACTGCAGTAATTTGAGACTTGAACATTTTTGAATTTCAGAAAAAAGTTCAGCCATAAGTTCAGGTCATTATTCTCATGAGTCAACACTTCACTGTGATTCTGTAGTTTTCCCATCTTCATCTCCAGCTCCTCGCTGTAGTTTTGTAGTTTTCCCATCTTCATCTCCAGCTCCTGGGAAGTTGCTTTCTGTTGGTACATCTGAAGACACACTACAAATGACAGAGGGGAATTAAGTGAATTACAGGCAGGTTGTTTGTTTTAATCCAAATGTACATTAGAAAACTCTTAAACTTTTAAGTAAATTGCCAGAAATGTGCAGTTAGGATATCAGAGGATGCATCAACTAGCTGCAGATGCTAAATGCTAACAGAAGCCCTGAACCGTTTGTCCATGTTGAAAGCCTGACTATTTTCCCATTATTATTATTATTATTATGTCTCTCCACTGAATATTGTCACAAGTTTAACAACTTTTGACTTGCTTTTATTGTCAGGATATTTAGGCTGGTCTGACTTAATCTACATGGAAATCAAAGTTGAAATTAACTAATTAAGCATCGTATAAAGTAATGTTTATTTAGCCTTGGTATGATTTGGATACATGCAGAGCTGCCTGTAACATATTGACTTATTATTATGGTTCTTTTCAGCACATTTGAATGCAGTGGGGTTTTTTTTATTTGAAGTTTTTTGTTTGTTTGTTTGTTTTTTCATAAAGTACCTTAAAATTATATTCTTGATCAGGTGACACACATTTCCCACCATGGTGTAGTAAATACACATTTATTTGTAGTATGATTTGTATACTAAGTATTTTTCTGTGTCTCATTTCAGTTTCATACCTTTTTGCATTAAATCCTCTTCAGAAACGACAGCCTGAAGCAACACACAGTTTAGCAGCGAAGGACTCCGACTCACATTAACGCTACACTTCTTTTAACGCCGTCCTGCAGTTGAAATCTTTAGTGACGAAAAGCATCATAAAAAATGCCGACTTGGTGGACCAACCAGCGAGGAGCCCACTGCTTCCAGCTCCGTTTCAGTTTTGTGTATAAATCAGTTTGAAAACCATAAATCATTTTTCCTTTAACTTATGAACAACTTTTCTGCTGGTGTGTCACCAGAAATCTAAATAAAATTAGTAAAAATAAGGAAATAAACACAATACACAGGTTTGTGCTTGCAAAGTGAAAGCTGTAGCTTCAAAATAATCTGAGTTAACTACAGGCTAGTGGATTAAAATGTTATAAAAGAAAAGGAGACTTACTCCAGATGTTGGCCACAATGCTTCCCACCAGGAGGAAACTAATTATCCACAAACACGACAGACGACTGGAACAAGTTATTGATGTTTTTTCTTTTCTCTCTGCAGGACACGGAAAATTCAATAATCACAATTTTGCACCAACAGAACGGTTTCTTGCTTTTTAAAAGAAAAAAAGCTCAAGAAAACATTACATCTAGGTCTGTTAGGTTTAGGTTTCATTATTTTTACAGTAAAACAGATTTTTAAAAAAGAGGAAAAACTTTAATATTAACATAAAACATGGAAGTTCAGTTGAGAATATTTTTGACCAAGTTTACCACTAACTTTTAATTAACCAAAATAAGTTCAATAAGAAACCTAAATATGAAACAAAACAGTTTTAATAATCTGTTTTTCATCCAGTCTTTCACCAAAAACCTGACCAAGCAAAATGTACATTTATATTTTACACCAAACACGAGTAACTCACCGTTTGAAATGGTTTGAACATTTTCATAAATCTCTTCATGTGAGTCTTTGGCCATCGTTAAAGTCTCAAAGGTCTGCAGATGAATATGTTTTAATTTTGTCTATGACCTCTAAGTCTCTGTTGCTATGCTGGATCCTGATTCTCTGAGGAGACACTGAAAGCTAAAGACAACACACGTTTGAGCAGTTTCTCACTTCAACCTCATCAGTTTTCCCACCTTTTATTTCTGATAGGTGTGATCTCGCTTTGAGCAATGAGGCTGCAGTTTAATCACAAGTTCTCAAAAACAAAAGTTACAGTCTAAGCTGAACAACAACCTAAATATGCTAAGCTTTCTTTGGCCAGACCACACAGCAAAAAGTGAAGTAGAGCAGAAACAGAAACCCAGAGCATCTGTGGTCTGGTAGACAAAGTCATCCGGTCTGCCAGCCCAACACACACAGAGACAACCATTCACCCTCACTGTAAAGTTCTGCTTTATCCACGGGGCATTGGACTTCTAGAGTTCATTTAGTCCACTTGGCTAAAACTCCAGTCCACTTGCATAGCAGGTCAGGTTCGTTTGGGAAGGCGTGAATGCAAACCAAACAACTGAACTCAGAGCTACCAACAAACCGGGTTTGTGGGCTTTGTTCGGTTGAAGTGAGCTGAGCTGTGGTTCAAATGAGTCTCTGAACGCCAAACGGACCAGAAACCGCTCCAAGAGCAGGAAATGGGTTTGTTGTGGTATTCTGGGTAAATACAACCACAACAAACTTGAGAGCCAAGCCTGGCGAGAGAAATGACTCACCGCCTTTTACCAAAAACAAAACGCTGCTCCATTTCTGTTTACATTTCATGAAAAATAAAACATTAAAAGGTTTGAACTGAAGAGGAGCCCAAAGCGCTTCACAATGCAGTCATACACACACACACACACACACACACACACACAGATGGTGGCATGCTACTGGATAGTAGCCACAACTGCCCTGGTTCAGTCAGACAGAGCAGGTCGCCAGGCGGCCTGACCAGAGTCCCTGAAAATTAAACTCAAGACAAAAAAAGTATTTGGTAAAAACTGATCAAATTATTAGTCCTTTAACATTTCAGCATTACATCATCCCACAGACCAAAATATAAAGCTAAATAGAAACTTTGGTATTTTAAGGATGAAAATGACAATAATTCATACAAGTAAGAAAAAGTAATAAAATCAGGCACAATAAAATATTATAGCTTATGAAACTTTAACAAAAACTGCAGGTGTGTCTGTGTAAAACTGTCACGAGTAGTGGTGGTAGGAGGTGAGGAGAGACGCAGGATCCAGGTATAGATGAAAAATTATGAGTTTAATGAAAATGCTCAGTCAAAAACTGGCAGGCAGCACGGCGGAAAACACGGAGGCTCAGCACTGGTAGCAACTGACTCAAAACAAAGACTGACACGATGAGCGAAAGCCGGCCCAGGACTTGGCAGTTCAACTGCGCCTGCAGACTAAGACACGTAGACCTACGTTTGACAAACTTAAACACAGACAACAGGTGAGACTAAATACACTGGGAGGGTAATCACAGGAACGAGACACAGCTGGGATCAATCAACGGGGAGGACAGGACAGAAACAGGACTAAACACAGGAAATGTCAAAAATAAACACACAGAAACACAGATCATGACAAAAATGGGCCAATCTGTAGGTTAAAACATGATTTATTTGTGAAATAATGTTTTTTGAGCCCATTATGTGGAGATTTAAAACAGGCCGGTCCAGTGAATTCATGTGTTCATCAGGCATCATGTCCCAACATGTTTCATCAAGAAGTCGAGTTTTACCAGAAGTCAAACCTCTACAGGTCATGACAGAGGAAACACAGAAACGATTACAAAACTGTTTTCAACATTTACAGAACATAAACTGATTTACACACATTTGTAAAGGAAAAGCTGCCACAGATTAAGTTTCCTCTGTGTTACAAAAAGATTAATTTCTGTTTAAAATAAGCAAAAGAACCTAAATTTAAACTTAGTTTCTTTTTTAAGTGACACCAAATCCAAATAAAACAGAAACAGCGTCACAAACCTTTTGACCTCCAGTACAGGCTGAACAAAACTCTGAGGAAATAATTTTCTTTAATTTATTTAATTAAAATTAAAAAAAACAAGCAGAACAAGTAAACTGAGGCCAAACAGGAAGTTTCTGCTTGGTTTTTAAATCAAAAGTGGTGAAAATCCTGTTTTGTTGAAGCTGCTATGACCTTGTTAGAGCTTTTCCCTCGCAGATGAATCTGTTTTTAAATTCGGAGTCGGCTTTGGCCCAGCTGGTTGTGGGATTCCTGTTGGGAACCAGCAGCGCATTTTTCCCAGGAAAGGAAAATGGTTTCTGCATCCAGAACCTTAGAGAGCGAAACATCAGGATGTCAACACATTCACAAGTTCATCTAAAATAAGAGAAACTTTCATTTCTCACAGCATTTCTGCTTCATTTTAAGGAAACTCTCAATTTGAGGCTAAAATACAGATTTTTATGCATCTCAGTGGCAGCAGGTTTTATCTTCCCTTTGTATGAAAAGTGTTTTAACATTTCAAACTCTTGGTTTTAATTCTAATTCTTTTTCAATATTTACTCTTTTTAGCTGTTTAAGTTGGACTTTTGTAAACATGGATTAACGTTTTACGGTGCAATCCTGATAAAATGGGATGAAGGTGAAATAAAAACCACTTCCTTACCCCAGAGTATCGACCCGTCCATCAACCCAGACCCAGCTGCTGCCCGTCTGGTTCAGTCCCAGCCAGTATCCGTGATTTTTATCAAAGTAGAAGTCTGTTCGATTACTGATAAACTCCTACAAGTTTAAAAAAACAGAAATAATCAGATGAGACGTTTTTCCGTTTTGGTCGTTTGTTGACGCGTTGGTGGCAAAGCGAACCGGTTCTTCCAGATTATCGATAACCACCAGGTCTGCATGGCGGTCCTGGCACAGCTGCCGAGCTTCCTGCCAGGTAAACCAGCCGTCTTCATGAAACAAATAGCACCTGTGCTGGAACAGAGTCCAGCCTCGCCTGCACGGCTGGCACCCTGCTGCGGAAAACACCAAACCACGTTCACACACAAACACAACCGTCCGCATGTTTTCACACAATCACAGTTACAGTTTAACACACTAACCAGATTTTTTTATTTCAGCTACAGAAAACGAAAATGTTTTAAATTTAAAACTTTATTTTGTTAGTTTTTTTTTTATTCTGTTTGTTATTTTATTAGTGTTTGTTTCAGTTAACTTTACTAACCTCGATCTGAGGGCCGTATAAACGTACTCACTGTTTTCACGACAGAAATCTCTGACTGGGAACAGGTCAAAGGTCAGGATGACTCCCAGCATCCAGTTGAGGTCGTTTCTGTCTCTGAGGAGAATCTCGGCCCGATTCTCCAGGATTTCCATCTTCATCTTCATCTCACTGAGGTTCACTTCCTGTCTGTACAGAACGCCGCTCACTATGAAGAAACCAACAGAAAACATGTCAGAGATTTAGTTTAGTCTGCTGGAGCTTCAGCGAGTTCAGGACACAGTTAACTAATACTAAAACTAACTAAAACTAACAAAATAGTTTGGCTAAGATGCTAATGATAACACGCTAGCCACTCTACATGCTACTGATAGCCCCCATGCTAATGTTAGCCTTACAGCTAAAAGAAGCATTTTAGCTCATTTTTTATATGCTAGCAACAGTTAGCATGCTAAGTAAATGTAGCTAACTTTAGCATTTAGCTAATCTTTAGCATCAGAATGAAGGATTCTAACCAAGAGACACAATTTGGCAGGAACATTTTAAATTTCTTTAGAAATGTTCTAGTTTTTCATGCAACTTTATTAAAACTTTGAAAGCTGATTTAAAAAGTTAAATATTTTAACTTTGGCACAATATAATTAAAAAAACACTGAATGCTTATTTTATAATTATCTTTTCATGTCTTAACGTGGCTTCAGATGAAACATTTTGAATTTCCTTTTACAACAAATACACATTTACAAACCTTTGAAGTATTTTACTTTGCAAAAGAAGTATCTGATTATCTGATGTTTAATTTGGAAATGAAGATCTTACTGCGGATGATGATGATGATGCTGGCCGTCAGAAGGGCAGAAACGATCCCCAAACACAACGACCCGAAACGAGAGTCTGACTCTTCTTCACCTGTTTGATTAAAAAAATAAAATAAAATAAGCAAGACAGTGACGAGTTAAGATGCAAAATCTGACAAGAAGCTCAAACACTTTGTCAGCAGCACCTTTTAATCTTAAAAAGTTTACTTTTTAGGTTTCTGTAAGTTTTAAGTAAAAATTTCGAGTTTATTTGTTATTCTACTCAGTTATGTTGTAAAACTCTGAGATTCACGCACCTTTTGGAGGTTTATGGATGTTGTGGAAATCCAAGGCTCCATTCATCATCACCGCCGAGTCAGAAAAAACTTAAACATCAAAAACCAGAACGTTTCCATCGGACCGGATAATCCGCTCACCCGGCCCAGTCTGAGGAAATGAAGCAAGGAATCAGATTTAGTAAATTCTGACGTAGATCTGCGATCTTTAGAAACATCCACCCTGTTGCTCTACAAACTGTTGGCTCAGAAGTTTTCCTGTTACGCTTGTTTCCTGTTTTATGTTTCAGATCATCAGTAGAGCTGAGGTGCATTTAGATGATTATAAAAAAACATGAAAAAACTGAATCTTTCTCTGTACTCATTGTTCTTTTAAACCAATAAATTTTCTAAATCCTTTCCTGTTGATTGTTCAACCCTGATGTTCTTCTTCTGCAACTAATAATATGATGGCAGTTTTTTATGTTCCCTTTAGAAAACTACTTAACTCTCTCCCCTCTCATGTTAGTCCTAGAATTTGTAGATTTTGATGCTCATTTCTCTCAGAATATGTAAAATAATATGTTATAAAGACATTATTATTGTTAACTTATAACAATAACTTATTTTATATTTACTATGATATTGTTTTATTTATAATAATGTAATGATATTAATATATACTATAATATGAGTAATAATAATAATAATTTGTATTTTATATTATTAGTGGTATTATTATAGAAATAATAATAATCACAAGAATAAGAATAATGTATTTAGTGTTAAAACACCAAAATGGAAGCTGCAGGATTTAAAATATACAATTATTTATACATTTTGCATATTTACCAGACTCCTGCGGCATTGTGTTGTTAAAGCTGCCACAAAATCCTTTCTGAACAACCCTGGTTTATTTTGTGTGACATGAGAAATAAAGGCAAACGAAAACGCTAAAGTGAATTGCGATAATCATGCATCATAACATCGGATTGCAATTAAATCAAACAAAGTAAAAGTGAAGTTCTGCATCTTAAAGAGAGAAACATAAATGCTCTATATACTACAGTGTGGTTATCTGAGCAGAAATCCTCTTCTACAAAACACCTGCACTGATTTTAACGTGTAAATCTGGTATCAAGAGAAAACAAGAATCTCACCGTAGACTGTAATAATGGCAACCGCCACCAGGAGGAGACAAAGTGTCACCAAAAACACGAGCAGCCGCAGGAGAGACTGCAGCAGCTTCTGGTGAGAAAACAGGAAAATGACTCAACAATTCAACTAAAGACTGATTATATTAACTTTAAAATCTGTTTTTAACTTTAAAAGGTCATTCATGTTTAAACCCTGTGGTTATTTAAGTACATCAAATGGTATAAGTTCTGGAAAGTTCTGAGGATACTTGCTTTTCTCTTTCTTTGTTCTTTTTTTCATTTTTGGGCATCAGTGTATAAAATTGATCATTGAATATTTACTATGATAAAATCCACAGTAAACTCAAACAGCACCAAGATATTATATGAGAAAAAAAATCACTAAAGTTGTTTTGTTGCTTTGTAATTATAAAACTACAAGGTTTTATAAAGAACAAATTTATAAAACTATATAAAGTTGGTTTATAAAAGAAAGCCCATGTAGTTACTTTTATAAAGAAACCATAAAAGCCACTAACTATCAAACTAAACTTAGAAAAGTCTGACCAAAGATTCCCATATGCTGACTTTCAATCACAGTTTTTACATTTATTACGAGGAATTCAACCAAACTTAGATTTCATAGTAACTCAGTTAGTAAGTTCTTTCAAAGAGTCATAATAAATTGACATATTGTTACTCCTGTAGGTGGGAAGGATCTAGAGGTCTGTGCTGCAGCACATCTAAAGAAGCCTCTGATCACCAACCAATTAGCACTTAAAGAAAAGATAAAATGGAGGAAAGTAGTTTAATGGAACAAAGGCAGAGAGAATCATCATAAGGTCTGTAAAATGGTCACATCTCTGCAGACCCCACACATCCTGGACACAAACCGTTTAGACTTTTCCCTTCAGGCCAGTGTCACCAGAAACAGCCTCTTCCCTCCCAGTTTTTCTCTGATGAACACTTGGTCTAAATGTCCCTCTTTGGTTTCATAACTTTGTCTGAAAAGAAGAAGTGAACATCCTGTGTCGACTCAGAGCCTGAAAACACTCAGAATGACGTTGAAGCGTCTCTGTGGAAGTTTAACTTTGTTCGTCTCTCTGGGAGATTAAACAGTTTTCTGCCTCTTGTAGGTTCTTAATCATGGAGGAAGAACTGAATTATGCAAATGTGACTTTTAAGACTATTGGTGTCTTCACACACATCGACTCAGGTGAGGTTTTTATTTTACCAGTTTGATTATTTTGATCAGTTTTATTTTCATTCAACACAACAGTTCAAAACTTCAACTGAATCATTTCCTTCTCGTTTCTGCGCATGTTTGCAGAAACATCTCTGCAGAAATACACATTGTTCAAACACAGAACAAGAAACCAAAAAAATATTTTTCTCCTTATATAATCTTCACAACTACAGAGCAAAATGTTTGCATTTTTCTTCATAGTAATAGTTAATATAACGACCATTTACATCAGTGAATGAACTTCAGGTGCAACATCTGCTGCAGGTAATTAGTCCAGGTGATCTCTGATCACCAGCTGCAGGTTTTACTGTTTTCACTGTCATACGGCGGCGTATCAGGGCCATAGTAGATTTAAAAAATGAAAAAAATTTCTGCCAAAAACTCAGAAAGGTGGAGATTAATCTAAAAAAAATTAAAAAAAAAAAAAAAACAAGAAAATGTCTGAGGTTAAAAAGTTGAAAATTTTAATGAAAATAAAAACAAACATTTTGAGAATAATCTCAAATTTTCCAGAAGAAACTTGGAAATTTCTGAGTTTGAGAAGTCCACAATTTTGAGATTAATCTCAGAAATTTTTAATTTGTGAAACTCAGAAATTTCCAAATTTTTCAAGAACATTTCTGAATTAATGTCAACATTGAATTTTTAAATTAAATTTAGGAATGTTAGACTTCTGGAGATGACAAATGTCCATGTATTTTTTTTTTTAGAAAACTTCTGAGCATAATCTCAACATTTCTGTTTTTTGGCAGAAATTTACTCCTTTTATCCACATCAGTAATATTTTGTTGTACAGTAAACCATTTGGTTTGGTTCTCTTCTGCTCTGGCCTACTTTCTCTAAAGTATTTTAGAAATTAGCCTTTGCACATTTTGCAGCTTTGACCAAGACTTTTGCAGAAGTGTCATGCCTCGTAAAACGTCATGTTTCCATGGCAACGTAGAATTTCTTATCACATCTGGGTTCTGAACACTCACTGCCTCCTTACCTGACATTTTAAATTAAATTGATTTATTAGTTTATTGATTTTTTTTCCATACTTCATAATTCAGAAAGAAAAATAAATTTATGTTTTCCTTTAGAATGTATTGATTTGTAACTTTGCTTTTCAAAACAAGTTTATTTTCATGTTTAAAATTAGCAGCTTTAGCAGTAAATGAGGACAGACACTGGATGGAAGTGACTCAAATTACTTTGGGAAGCGATTCTCAATGAAAGGCTGAGTTTTCACATCACTACATCAAAGCTTTATCTAGTCCAGTGTTTCTCCACCCTGGTCCTCAGGCCCCCTGCTGTGCATATTTTAGATGAGCCTCTGTTCCAGAACAGCTGATGCAAATGATTGCATGACCATCAAGTACTGCAGAAGCCTGTTAATCACCCAGAGATACAATTCAGGTGTGTGTGCATGTTTTAGGGAAATACCTAAAACATGCAGGACAGGGGGGCGGTGAGGACCGGGCTGAAAAACACTGATCTAGAATGTTCTTCCTTTAAAGTTTTAAATGTTATTATCGCCACCTACTGTCCACATCTGTTATTAATCCCTAAATCAAACATAATGTTTAGCTATTTTAAGTTTTAGAGAACAAAAAATATGTAAATGGCAGAAAAATGCAAAACTAAAAAAAATCACACATTTATATGCTATTGTTTTGTTTTCTGATTTTTTTCTTTTCCTTAGAAAAATTGAGCCTTAAAGAAATAATTTACGACGAGGTGAAGACAGAGGAGAAGACGCAGGACACACATCCGATCATAACAGGTAACCTTGTTCCCGTGTGACGTCACATTTCCATGAACTTCGTAACTGACAGCCATTTCGGTTGCTATGACAACAATAAACAAGACAAGTTTAGAGCTAGCTCTCGCTTCTCCTTTCTAAACAATAAGTACATTACAACTGTTGAGTACTCTACCCACCTCTGTATAATACCATAAATATCAGTGATATTAGTACTTACTGCTTAACTGGCTAAATTAGCTTAGCTAATGTAGCTTTTATCTGCTAGCTAAGATGGACATGTAGCCTATACTCATACAGAGTTCGTACATCCAGAGTTGGGTAGTAACTAGTTAAATTTACGCAATTACGTTTACTTGAGCAACTTTTTTTTTAATGTACTTTTAGGAGTATTTCTACTACTCTGTACTTTTGACTTTTCCTTGAGTAATTTTATTAAGAAGTAACTCTGCTCTTATTTGAGAAACTTTTCTGCATTTTCTACCCATTGAATAAAAACCAAAAATTCACCAGACACAGAAACACGGTAGTTTTTTAACTGATTTGGAAAAAAATTATTTTGCCTGATTTTGTTTTTGTTACTTAAATTAATTATTGTCGTTTTTGTCCTTAAAATGCCAAAATTTCCATTTAACTTTAGAATTTGGTCCATGTGACGATGTAATTTTTAAATATTAAATGATTGATAATTTGATCAGTCTTTCAGTACTGGTGTAGAGTTTTTACCAAATACTCTTGTGTAATTTCTTGGACAGATACTTTTTACTTTTACTTGAATAAAAATATGTTGAAGTAGCGCTACTTGTACTTGAGTATAATTTTTGTGTACTCCACCCACCTGTGTGTCCGTCCTTTATAAATGCAAAACATTGATAAACATTGATTGTCTTCATGTTCACTGTTAACCACATCGTCAAAACGTTTCCTTTCTCCATTTCATGCGGGTCGATCCCGACAGCAGCCATTTTGTTACTATATTCTCTTGCACATTTGGTCAAGAGAGTTAAAATACTTTCTTTTTGTTGTCTCAAACGTTCAGCTATGTTTGCCTTGCCTACCAAGATGGCGGAGATCATGTCCAGTTCAGACTTGTGGGAACTATGTATTAAAACTGAAAATGTTTTACTTTTTATTGATCTGGTTTTCATAGAAAATGAAAAGAGAGCTCAGTTTCACCCTCTGCCATTTTTGGGGATGATCTGCTTCATCCTGCTGCTGGCCATCATCATCCTCAGCGTCTACTGTAAGTCTGTCTGTTTCTCTGGCCGTCTGAGCGTCTACCTGAGCAGGTAAAACATTTTAAACACCTGACTGCAGTCACGTCTGAGCAGAGGAGACAGTCAGGCATTTTAACGAAGCAGAATCGGAAGCTGGCGGCGGTGAGTGCAGCTTTACGGAGACGAACAGCAGAACTGCACCGAGAGAGAAACCGACTCAACTGGACTCTAGACGTCATCCTGGAATACAACAACTTTCCTGCGGCTGAACGCTGCCCACAGAAACGTTAGAAAAACAGATTTTAATAGACCATTTCTGCAATGTTTTAATCCTTTAAGCATCTTAATCTTTTTAATCCGTGGTTTTTATTGTTTTACAGAGTGTACGCCTTGCCCGAACGGCTGGGCGATGTTTCAGTCAAACTGTTACCTGTTTACAAAAGACGAGTACAGCAACAAGTGGAAAACCTGGCAGCAAAGTCAAGAGTTTTGTGTGAGAGAGAATGCAAAGCTGGCGGTGATCGACAGCCAGGAGGAGCAGGTAAAGATTTTAACCATAAAAATCACATCCAACGTTTTTTAATTAGAGTGAAAACAAATAGATTTTTATATGGGATTATGTTAGGAAAGTTACATAGTAAAAAATTAATAATGTTTTGGTTTATTTAGCCTGTCAGAGAAAAACAGTTTTTCCTAACTCATATTTTCATCCTGTTATTGCATCTGTAAATGTAAGATTTCCAAATTAAATATTAAATTTACAAGCTAAACTGAATATTTAAATTTCAAATTAGTATTTAGTTAGGAAGCTAAACATTTGGTTCCCATCAAAATGTTTAAGTTTGAGCAAAATATTTAGTTTCCAAATTAAATAGCTAGCTCTGTCATGTTGGTGTCGAGTTTTCTAACCCACATGCAGAAACACTCCAGAGACAGGAAATACAATAGTGTGATTTATTTACAGTGAATTCAAACAATGAGAATTAGGATCCTTGGTTCGTCTGGCAGATCTCAGGGCAACTAGGGGAGGACAGAGATGATTAGTCAGGACCCAGGAAATTTGCTGTTTGGCGGAGGTTGGAGATATACCTGTTCAGGGGGAGTGTTGGACTGGGAGAGGACCTTGAGGGTCTAGAGGCTGGTCAGCAGGTTGAGGGTTGAGATCAGAGGCGGCGGCAGAGGACGGACAGGTAAGACTCAAGGCAGTGAGGGTTCCGTCTCGAGGGTTGACTGATGACCTGATAACTCCGGACCAGGGTAGCTGGGAACACAGAGACAAGAAGGGTCAGAATCTGGGAACAAATCCAGGTAGAAGTAGCTCAAGGTAAGCCGGTACCATTACTGGCTAACACTCTGGCAGAGAAGTGTCAGCATACTTCTCCATTTATATGCCTCCAAATGAGTAGATGGAGGACAGGTGTGCAGACGCCGACTCGCCCTCAGGAGGAAGGTCTCAAGCTCCCTCTAGTGGAGAAAAGATGACAAACCTCAGGATCCCAACAAGCTCTGAATTAAATATTTATTTTGCTAACTAAATATTAACTTTCAAATCATTTTTTTTTTTTTTGTGAATTAAATATTTAGTTTGGAACTCTTAAATTTATAAATGTAGTAATGATATGGTGAAAATATGATTTTGCTGATAATTTGTTTACTGTGTAACTTTATAAATGGCATCCTGTTTTTTTGTTTGTTTGTTTGTTTGGTTTTGTTGTTGTTGTGGTTGTTATGAGATTTTTAATCTTCTTTCTTTTAAAATGCAGGAATTTATAAACAACAAAACAAAAATATACCACGATAAAAAGCACGGCTACTGGATCGGGTTAAAGAAAGACACGGAGGACATGTGGACGTGGTCAGGCGGCCGGAACCTCTCTGTGACGTAAGCACCACGCAAACAGAAGAAAAACTTCAGCATTTCCTAATTTCCTCCCAACCTTTTCACCTGCAGGAGTCACTGAAAACCCAGAAATACCCTCAGTAGTTTTCACAAGCAGGAGGTGAAAGGTTGCAGTGAAGAAATCACTTCCATCGTTCAGCTCCTTCACTGGACCGCAAACGTCAAAATAAAACACAAACTGTAAAACGGAGCAGTGCTGCCGCCAAGTGGTCTCACCACGCACTGCAAGGCCTCATTTTCACACATACACACATAAATTAAACGGGTCAAACACCTCCCAGTGTTTCTGTAAATCAAGCTGAACTATTTTTTATGACCATGATATATTTTTTTAGACTTTTTGATTTACATTTATACAAGTAAACTTCTTCTTTTGCAGAAACCTTTAAGAAAATTTTTGCTTAAATCTATTTTTTGAAAATGACTGCACAAGTTTAGGATAATTTGGCTCCTCAGTGTTGTTGTTTGTTATTAAGGTAAGAACATTTTCACCAAACAGTAGATCAGAAGAGGGAAAATTAATCAACTTCAATCGATTTCAGTTCATTTACACCAATTTACAACATGCATCATGTTTACACCCAAAACATAAACTGGAACAATTACTACATCCATGTCTCAATTATTTTAATGACATTATTAATACTGTTCAGGGCTGAAACAATCAGATTAATACATAATTACTGAGTCATTGTCAACTAATTTAGTAATTGATTAATGCTTAACAAACTCAAAAAACAAACTGTTTCTGGAACAACAACACAGTCAGAGCAGAAATTAAGCCAAAACTGTACAATACATATGAAAGGTGCAAATAAAAAATCCTAGATTAGTTATAAGTGATAATGTTCCCGATCATATAGGCAGATCTAGGCAGTCTAATTCTATGCTTCATGCTCTGAGAGACATGCTTTATTATTTATTTTACAATATATTTATTCTTCCTACTTGCACTTTATGAATCATTTGAAAGAAGATTTGTTGCAGTTTATTTTTATGTTTGACCAACCCAGTCAACCCGTTGTTTTGTTTATTTATTTCCACTATCTGTTTGAGTCCTAATTTTCTACATGTTTGACCAATTTTATGAAGCTATTTGTGCGCTGCACTGGTGCAGAGTTATCAAATGAATTTTAAATTTTATAAATTTATGTTTGTGTTTTCAAAGTTTTAAGTTAATTGATCAGTTTTAGTGTATTGGATCGATATCGGCCGATACTAAACCTTAGATATCAGCATCGGAAGTGAGAAAAGTGGATTGTTGCATCCGTACAACAAAATGTTCATTTTCTTCTTTACAAAATGAATTTGATAGTTTGATTATTTCCATTTTAATTTATTTCTAGTTATGGATTAAAAGGCTTTAGTGGTTAAATGAAAAATCTGCAGAATGTGCCAATTTATCATCAGTAGAATAATTATTGGTTTCAGCCCTAACACTGTTCATTGTACTGGCATAAAGAGATGCAGCGTTACAGAAGGAATCTCTTCCGATTGGCTTCCTAAAACAAGCAGCCGGTTGAAGTTTCTTAGGTTTGAGCAGAACCGAAGTGACTCCATGTGTTTTCTTCCTTCAGCTTCTGGTCGACAGAAGAAGCTGGAAATCGACTCTCCTGTGGTTTAATTAACCCGCATCTCAACAATTCATCCAACTGGGCCAAAACCAGCTGCGACATGAAGAACCGCTGGATCTGTGAGACCAGAGTCCTGATCCGACCCGATTAGGATCCACAAACTGAACCAGTATTTATAACTATTTAAAACTTAAACTGTTAAAACCTTTCTGTGTTTCCTGTTTATTTAAAAGGATCTGATGAAACGCCTCAGACAGGATCTCTGGATTTATTTCTGTGCTTAAATATTAAACCAGGCACATAATTTATACTGAGAAGATGAAGCTCCGTTGTTTCCTACAGACACTGATGATGTATTTTAGCTCTGCATGTTTTTCCATCCTAACAGGATTTCTAATGCTAAACGTTTCTGGAAAATCTGTCATTTTATTTGTTTTTAAAATAAACAATTAAAATTTCTAAAAAAAAAAATGTTTCTGAAATTTTCTCATCATTTTTTCACACAGTGATGTCCAAATTGTGGCTCAGGGGCCATTTGCGGCCCTCTGGATGATTTTGTTTGGCCCTTGGTCCACAATTCAAAAATATAGCAAATAATTTCTGATTTTGCAAATAACTTTTTCTTAAAACATTCATGTATTTAGATGCAAGACAAAGTGTTATTCTTTAATTAAAAATGTTTTTTTTTAAAGTCCTAAAACTAAAGTTTCAAAAATAATTACCTGTCATTTAAAACAGCAACTGTGTAAGACCCTGTTTATGTTTTGGATCGATGATGATTTAGACTACTTTTCTACAAAAATTTGATTACTTTGCTTTATGAAAATATCGTCTATTTAGTATGTCATCTAAGACATAAACACAACAAACATCTTAAGAAATAAATGTGGCCTAAGAGGGAATCAACTCTAATGCGGACCAAAAAGTGAACTCTGCTTCATCTAAAATCTTTTCTTCAGAGGTTTTGTGTCGATTTCTTCAGTAGCTTTTGGGGCAGCGCCCCCACAGGCGAGGAGGGGAACAGGTTTTTAAACTAGTTTGGATCGTTTGACACAGTGTAGTGTTAAAGTGAACCCAGCAGCTGAAGATGTAACAGATGTTGAAATTTTGGTCCCCAGTCAAAGCGAATCTACTCAGTATCAGGTGTGAAAACAGTCTTTGGGTTTGACTCCAGCAGCTTTGCACGTGTTAAAATGTGTCAGCTTGTTGTATCACAGCGGTGAGGAAAGGTTTCCCAGAACAGTTTGAGCAATAAAACATCCACAGACTCTGAGGTTATTGTAAAATATGTGAAGAGGAAGAGGAACCTGTCTGAGCTGCAGCTGATATGATTCAACGGCTGTTGGGCATTTTCTGATCAGTTTTCAGTTATTTTTTGTGTGAAGGATGGAGAACAACGGGGACGAAGTCTGCTATTCTACAGTCAATATCAAAAATAGCAAACCTTCTCCGACAGGTAAGAGACTCCACAAGTTTCATGAGGTTTAGGAGGCAACAAAACTCAAAGCGCTTTGTTAACTCTTTAGAAAGTTAAAACTGGATTCTTATTACATTACATGTAATAAGCCTTAATCTTATTTTATCAGTGAAATCTCTTATTATCATACAAAAATTCATTCAGTATTTTGTGCCTTATAATTTTCCTGTATTGTGAGGATGAAGTGAATCATCTGCTGTTTCTGTGCTTCAGACACTGAGGAGGATTCAACTGTTTACTCTGAAGTGAAACAGAAGAAAGCTGCTCCTGCTCAAACCAGTAGGTGTAACTATAATCCATCCGTCTGAGTTTTTCTCCATCCACTTTTCTCTGCACACACAAATCCTGAAGGACAATCAGAGAGACGAGTTTATTGAGCAAAAGAGGGAACCCACGCATGAACAGGGGGAACATTAAAACTCCCTGCACAACGACACCAGCCAAAGACTGAATGCAGGTCTTGTTTCTAAATCTGCAACTAGTAACATTAATATTAATATAAATATTTAATAAATGTAAAAGAAGAATAAAAGGAAGATGAAGAGGAAGTAAAAAAAGATGCAAAGCAACGGTGGCTCTGAAATGCAAAACATTTCAACAAACCAAAAGTATGTTGTTTTTTCATTTGTAATTGTGTTTAATGTTTTGTGATTTTTTTATTTTGTAGTTGTTAATGTCGTTGTGTTTTTGAATATGTTTTTGTGTTCTTAAATTTGTAGTTGTGTGATTTGCTGATGGAGTTTTGCACTTCAGGGCCTCCATACAAACACACACTGTGTCACGTTTGGTTTTAAGGTGGATAAAATTAAATTAAAATAGCAGAGTAAAACATGTACTTCAGAGGAAGAGGAAACAAACGGTTAAAACTATCGCAACATTTAATTGTGATCTAACTTTGAGTCAAAAGGTTCAATCAAAGAAGTTAAATTTTATTAGCGAGTTTTAAGGCAGAAGCTTAAATTTGACACTTTTGCTACTGTAGACAAAAATAAACGCTATTGAAAACCACAATAATAACCATGTTAATGTCGTTGTTTCTGTCAGGTCAAGAGAAAGAGGAAACAGCAGCTCTCTGTGACTCTCGCCTGATGCTGGTGTGTTTGGGGATTCTCTGTGTCCTGCTGGTTGTGAGCATCACCGTCATCATCTACAGTGAGTTTCACCTCAGCAGAATAAACCTCATTTAGCAGAAGTAAACTGTTATTGTGGCAGCCTCAGGGTAAATAACAGGTCAAATTGAAATCAAGTCAAAGAACATTTGCAAACAACATTTCAAGTATTAAGGTGAAAAATAAGTTTAAAACAGATAAATTAAAAACATAACAAAATTGCAATGTGTAACGTAATATTATGATAAATATGTAATTCAAGTAGATAAAAATGTGGCAAAGTCGTCACAGGGCAACACTAACTGTGTTTACATTAAATCAATAAAAATTTGTTTAATGGAAACAGAAACTTAGATTAAAACGTTTTGGGGCTTGAATGAAGTGGTTTTTCAGTCGCATATTAATAGATGTATTTCGCAAAACTGCAGTGGAAACCGGATGTTACCACTGGCAGAAACAACAAAGAAGACATCAGGAAGTGGTAGGATGGTTTGTTTTTATTTGTTTGCTTGTTTGGACAATGTGCAGCTGGCTCCACCAGGGCTTTGATGGCATTGCAATTCATAAAAAGTTGTGTGTCACTCAAACGTGTTGAATCCAAAGTTCTTTCCCCAAACCGTAGCCGCTGCCAAGCATAAGGAGTTTGTCTCTTTAACGCCTGAATAAGACGCCAACATCTCATCTGATGACTGACAAATGAATATATCTCATTTATTTGTTTACATTTGTCGCTGCCATGATTTTTAATGACTTATCGGGTGAACAAGCTTATTAACGTGTATTAACGTATTTAATGAAAGCAGTGCAACTTCGAATTTTGGGGTGGGGGTCGATATTAGCAGAATATCAACAAAGATTTGCACACATCTATATTGGAAACTCAGCTACAGAGGTAAAGAGGAGAAACCGGTGTTCTATCAGATAACCATACGCTGTCAGGATGGCGAACATGCAGTTAGTACGCATGCCCGCGCATGCGCATTAAGAAGTCCGACCGTCAGTGGAGTTGTCAGTTCAGCATACGCAATAAGTTATGACGAAAATAAGTCATTAAATTGTTTATAATATGATATAATACGATAGCTAGAAGGATATTCATGCGTTGTCGTGGTTTCAAAGTGTATTTAAAGCAGTCGAGCTGCAGCTGCAGTCAACCACAACACACGCCCGTGTAAAACTCATTAACCTACTTAACCGCTAAATCAGGATGTCATACAGCTGTTCATAACAAAGTGTATGATGATCTACGTCATGATTCTATGTTGCTGATTAAATAAAATCGTATGGTAATGACTGCTTATACATGTCAGAGCTAAGCGTAGTACTATCTGACAATGTAGGCTGATCTGACAGAACACCGCCATGCACACAGTTCTGCCTATTTAGAGCATTAAATTAACCCAACATTTATGTTTTTGCACCATGAAAGAAGGTTTGAGTACCTGGAGAATATCCACACAAACATCAGGAAAACATGCTACCTCCATCCTGTATGGCTGTTAGCTTGATTTTTACCTGCCGCGCTTCTGATCCAAATACTAAATAATCCACACAAAGTCCGATGAACGGTGAATTTTGCCTTCTCTTTGAGAAGATATCAGAACAATTCTTCAGTCTTGCTCGGTATTCCACATATAACAATTTAAAAAACATGTATGGAGCCAAACTAACTTCTTCACATCCATTTTCTTTCTGATCTCCTGTCACGCAACACATTTCATATGATGTTTCAAGTACTTCCACTAGATGGCGGTGTCGCACAAAAATACACTAAAAACAGATCTTACTGTGAAGGAAATATCTAAATATACAGAAAGTATACGATAATTCTACACAATAATAAACAATATTACAAAGCGACATTTTTGGCTCTTACAGACTTTATGTTGAGATTCAATCTCTGGACCTTCTTGCAAATCAACAGCAAAAGTTAACAATTAAATCAAATATTAACTTTCTTTTTTACTTCCTTTTTCTTATAAAGCAAGGCATTTTCTTGAAATACATAAATACATTTTTACTTTGTTTCTCTAAAGTTCATGTATTTATGGTTTATGACTGAACTTTGTTCAGGCTTGAAAACTGAAGTCAAATTCTTTATTTGTTCCTCAATTTGGTAAATAAAGCTGATTTTTTTTCCAATACTAAAGATACTTTCTAATGTCCTGTAAGAGTCTGAGAGAAATGTAATGTGTTGATGCTTCTCTGATACAGATTTAATGACTTTCTGACTAATTTATGTTTTTACAGTGAGCATGAAGACGACCATGCAGCAGACAGAAATCAATAACCTAATCAAAGAAAATGAGCGAGTGACTGAGGAAAATAAAATGATGCAGAACAAAAACAAGGAGCTGAGCCGAGAGAGAGATGACCTGAACAAGACTCTGGGATTCATCCTGAAGTTTGACAACTTTCCTGTAAAAGACTACTGTTCTGATGAAGGTATTAATATTCTAGATTAACTTTGAGACTCTGGATCATTGTTACTTTAAAGAAAAATTTTAACAGTGGTTTAAAACAAACCTGACCATTAGGTAAAATGCTGACATCAAAGATTCATCAGCAACAGGTTTACAGTGAAGCCTTGATTTCAAACAATATTGTTTTTATTTGGAGTGAACCGAGGATAGAGCCCTGTGGTACGCCACTTCTAACTCAACAGGTAGCTCAATGTAATCATCTTCTAATATTGAATTGCAATGTAGCCCTGAAGTCTTTGCTTGAACTATTTTGACTTTTAAAACATTAAGTAATCAGACAGGAATTTATTTTTATATTCTAATTTTTTTCTATTTCATATTATTTTACCAAAGTTTCGCTTTTTTCTGCTCTTTCCTCTTGTCTAATGGATCCAGGGTGTGAACCGTGCCGGACAGATTGGATCCTCTTTCAGGAAAAATGCTACCTGTTTTACGACAAACCGGCTCCTTGGAAGTCCTGGACAGAAAGTCGGACGTTCTGTCAGGACAAACATGCAGATTTGGTTGTTATTGATGATCTGGAGGAGCAGGTAAAATCTGACACCACTTCTACACTAACATGAGAATTTAAAAACAAATCTGGAAGTTTCCATGTAAAATTGATGGCTTGAAGTAAGAAGGTTTATAAAAATCTGAAATAATCTGCTCACAGAAATTTGTCAGCAATCACACCAAACACTACTATGACATTCACCACGGATACTGGATGGGGTTACAACATGTTAACAACAACTGGACCTGGGTGGATGGACGTACAGACACTCTTGGGTAAGAACTACGATCTAAAAATACACATATTTAGGTAAAAATGTAAATATATTTTGTCAAGATTGTAGAAGAGTTAAATGTACTGAGTGACAACGACTCCAGGACTTCTTCTAAAACCAAACCTTGGTGGACATGATTGGGTTCATTGTTCTGTTTGGACATCCAATGATGTCAAAGCTTACTGGGCTTCCTCGAGCTTCAGGCGTCCTCACAGACAGCAGGACAGTTTCTCCCAGGATAACCTGATTCCTGATTGAATCCATCTTGACCTCCACACTCTGCAAGTTTCCAGAGGAAGGGAAGCAGCCCCAGAGCATCATTGGGTCCCTGCCGTGCTTCACAGTGGGCAGGGTGTTCTTTTCAGCACGCGCTTCAGACGTCTGATCAGGCTCAAGAAGTTCCAAAAACGTTCTTTATCTCCCTATTATAGCTATGAGCAAACTGCAGCTGGGTTTTCTTGTGCCTTTGGGTCAGTGGTGCTGCAGGTGGTTGAGTTCAGGCATGGAGACCTTCAGTCCTCAGTCTGTCCTCACTGTGGGACCTGAAGATATTTTGTCAAAACCTAACTTGTTTTTGGTGTAGAATATTTTTTGATGCAGCTGTAAAAATAAGAACATTTAAATGTGTAAAATCTGATCTTTAATACATTTTGTACATGTGTGGCTTCTGTTGAATTCTCTTTTTATTCATATTTTGACAAAACATTTAGTTGCTGACAGTTGTCAGTTTGATGTCAGTACACTGCTGAATGAGGTCATGATTCTGTTTTTAAGGTTCTGGATGAAGGAGGCGTTCGGAAAATCAAGTCCAGTTGCACTTCTGATCCCAAAGAGAAATATCACAGAGAACTGGAACAAAGCAGATGAGATGTTTGAGAACAAATTCATCTGTGAGCATGAAGCTGTTATTTGGTCCTTCTAACTCTTCTCTTATAAATTCCAGACGTTTACATACACTATATAAAAACACACATGCATTTTTTGTCACGCTGTCTGATGTGAAATCAGAATAAACTTTTCCTCTTTTGGTCTATAATGATTACCAAAATATTTTCTACAACTTGAATAACGAGTGAGATTTTTTTTTCAGGCAATCTTCCCTGTAAAGAATCAAAAAATATACTTTATAGTGTATGTAAACTTCCGGTTTCAACTGTAATTAATTTTGTCATCAATTTTTGTTAAATGTCATAAATAAAAACACAAAGCCCTCTCTTAAATGCTGTTAAAGGATGGCTGAAGATTTTTAAACTGTCTCCATTTCCTATATGCTCATATGGACAGACTGTTAAATAACATCTCATCATTTAGTTTTAGATTAGTTTGAAGTATTATTAATTTAAAGGCCTTATGGATCATTTGTTCTGTTTATTCATAGTTTTAGTTACTTATTGCTGTTTTTATTTCATCATGCAGCAGCAGTAGCTGGAAATGTTCAGTAAAAGTCCAGACAAATATAGAAATTAAATTATTTATTTCAAAGAGCTCATTCATTTATTTATTTTTGTTTGTTTTTTACAACGCACAAAAACAACCTGGTTATCATTAGTTTTCATGTAAATACTCTGCTGTCAAACATATTTAACATAAACTCAAACCATCAGTTGATTCAAAGCATAATTTATAAAATAAATATTAAATCAGAGGCTTATTTAACTCAATGTAATTCAAGGAGAGTCTGTTTTCAGAGAATGTGTTTTTCATTTAATATGAATTGAATGCTTTCAATAAGCAAAGTTAATTGATTTTATTCAAACTGTTGCAGTCTTAAATGCATCATTTGTGATTAAACTCATTGTTGAAAAAGTTCAATGAAATCCCTTTGTTTGCAGGTCTGGTGTATTAACTTTGTGTGGTTTGGTTTTCCAGCCCTTGCTCTCTTCAGATATTTCTGTTTGTTATTTCAGCCACTTGATCATGACTTTCTATATACACTCCCTCTGGTCTTTGTTGCTTTTTATATTTTTATATTTTATGTTAATTGTTTCATCTAACTCAGTGTTTCTCAACCTTTT